AGGCTTATTGAAGTTTTGCTTCTAACTAATCTTTTTATATTGTATGTATAACTAACCTAGTAGTTCGAGTTAGACAACAGCTACATGTATTTCTTAGAAACAGCAATTGTGAATACTTTAATAATAATAATAATAATAATAATCTTTAATTATCTCATGGTGTGTGCCATTGTTGTCGACAGATATAAGTAGTATATATCATCAGTCGAAAGTGAAGTGTCTGAAGACAGAAGAGGTAAGACTATAATTTATGGACGATCTTTGAGTGACGCTAAAGTGACCTTGAGAATGTTTGCCTATTTACTAGGGCTAAATGAGGGTTATAAAGTAGTTTGAAGGACAAGGATTATGACTTGCAGTTGATGGTTAGGGTTAGGAATTAGATTTACGGTTTTCATCACAAACTGACGTCAGTTTTAATGCCAAGATTCTATTTAACCAAATGGATGAATAAATTTTGCGCCAAAATCTAAGACTTGTTATCGTAAATCTGATTGATTGATTCATCCATAAATTATAGTCTCGTCACCGAAGGTTATGAAAACCGAAGAATAGGGAACGAGAACAGAGAGTGATCGTTGTGGAAACCAACGAACAACGAAATCTTAAACGATTGACTGACATTTTCCGAATGAATTATTAACTGTACAGTTCTCAGATCTTACTAAGAGATTCTGTAATGGTGTGTTCAAATACATCCAATTGTCCTCACTTGTTTGTTCTCCTTCACTACAATCTTACTGTTAATTATTATGAAATTTATTGTCGAACTATTTTTTATGAAATAGATGTAATGACTTAGCAACTAGAAAATCAATATTGAGACCTTTTCATTACCACTTGTTAGTGGCGTGTTTTCAAATCTATTATTATGATTTATACAATATCATATGAGATCAGCAGATATTAATGGCATGGATAACTGAAAAAAAGGAGATTAATGAAAATCTTTGAAGTCATCTTTAATTTTTGTTTATTTGTTTTTCACTGATTGAAATCATGAGTCAATTGAAGCTAGACCATCATGAAAAGTGGAAGCACTAGACGACCGTTTCGTCCTAGTATGGGACTCCTCAGCAGTGCACATCCACGACCCCACACCCCGCGAGATTCGAACCCAGGATTTATCAGTCTCGCGCCAGGCGCTTAACCAACTAGACCACTGAGCCGGCATCCAACGGTGTTAATGTCTGATTTCAACCAATCCACGAAGTTGAGCCACCTTCTACCATTGTCTTCAGTGTGTTACTATGTCATAACAAACCCGGTTGAACTCCACTGGTGACGGCTTCTCACTGGAACTACAGAGTATCTCTTGGAGTCAGTCACTAATGAGCAGATGAAACGGCCGTCCAATGCTTCCAGGTATTCCATAGTGGTCTAGCTTCAATTGACTCATGATTTCAATCAGTGAAAATTTCTAAAATCTCCCCAAAACCCCTTCTTATTTGTTTTTGTTAATAAAAATTGATGTAATTTATCACTTCTAACAAAAGAATTAAACAGATTCACTTATAAGTTCTAATATGTACGAGCAATTACAAAATAATCAGGTTTCTTTCTGGGGGATAACACAAACATACACTGGCATTCCATTGAAAGACTTTTGAATAACTAAAGAAAGACTAGACAGTTATTTCATTCAAAATGTGATATTGATGATGATGGTGCCAACTTCTGATGATTTCAAAACTACAATTACTTATTTACTCCTGTTACCTCACTCGTGGAGGCGTATAGGCCGACTATCATCATTCTCTATACAACTCTTTGTTAAGTAATCCTTTCTATTTGTTTGTAGTTATTATTCATCCTTTTTTATATCTGCTTCCAATTCCCAACGTAGTGTATTCTTTGGTCTTGGTCTTTTCAACTGACATGAATTAAATGTCATGATTAGGAAAATGAATTTGAGATCATGAGAGATTATCAAATAATCGCTTCAATGAAATATTTTATTATAGTTTTTATTGCTTAATGTTGCACTTTAGGTAAAGTGTGTGTTTGTGGTCACTGGAAATCGATTACTGATTACGTAACATATGTTCATTCCCTTTTGTGACAAGGGGGGACTTGGACTAAATTGTCAACTGAACAATAAACTGTAGTAGTTTCTATGCCTTAAAACATATACTATTCATTAAGTCAATTAAGAATTTTAAATGTGATAACAATGTTCATCAGTTCATTGTCAGCTCAATGAGGGAATGTTTACAAGATGAGAATGAAATACGCTTTAGTGAAATAAATACAAAGAAGATAGTTCAAAAAGTTAAGAATATAGAATCTAATTAAAACTAAAAAAATCACGAGGACTTTCCAAATCCGAATCCAATTGCGACAGTGTAATTGTTTCCTTTTTATCTGTTTGTCAATCTTCAATTTCCGACTATGATTAGTGTATAGGGTTGGACTGTCAACAATACACTTTTAAACATGAATAAGTTGAAGAATAAGTGATTTCATGAAGTGATACTATGAAGTTTGGTTAGAATACTTCAAGCTTACTCCTAAGTTGATCATTATAACAGTTTATAGAGAAGGGTTGTCAATCATTGGTAACACATTTCTCAAACAAGTTAGTCGATGAAATTTTACGATTGATTCAATATTTTCTACTAAATATGTTATGCATCACTAAATCATTGTTCGTTAACTTGGTCATTACATCATCTCAGATCAGTGTTATAAATACACACAGAATCCAACATTTTTCAACCTAAGCGTTTAGGTCAACTTTGGGCGTCACTGTCATTTTATTGAACTAATCTGTTTACATCGTTTCATTGAATAATTTTAGATCATGGATGCACAATGCTGAGGAGTCCCGTGCTAGGACGAAACGGTCTTCCAGTTATTCCACACTTTCAATGGTGGTATAGTTTCAAGTGATTTATAAATTCAACTATTGAATTACTAAAATCCCCACAAAACCCGTTTGTGGCAGTAATCATCATGCACTCAATAATGACTGGCTCCAAGATGAATTTCCTGGAGTTCTAGTGAGAAGCCGTGGCCAGTGGAGTTTAACCGGGTCTTTTATGACATAATAACACACTGAAGATAATGGTAGAAGGTGGCTAAATGTTGCCGATCGGTTGAAGTTAGACATTAATGCCGTTAGATGCCAGCCGACCCAATGGTCTATAGGTCAGACGTTCGTGCGCGTGATCGATAGTTCGTGGAGTCGAATCCCATGAGTGGAATCGTGGATGTGCACTGCTGAGAAGTCCCATACTAGAGAGAATAGCCCATCCAAATTTTCCATGGTGGTCTAGCTTCAATTGGCTCATGAATTAAATTGATGAAAATCACTACAATCTCCACGAAACCCACTTCTTATAATTTTCATGAATTGAAATTTGATATATATATATATATATATATATATATATATATATATATATATTTAGATAGATATCCATATTTTTAGAGAATGATCAATGTTTATTTAAATAAACTGTAGTTCTAAACTAACTCCATCAATTGATCATTGTTGTTTTCTTTGCACAGATATAAGTATATACACGTATCTATCTATCTATCTATCTATCTATCTATCTATCTATCTATCTATCTATCTATCTATCTATCTATCTATCTATCTATCTATCTATCTATCTATCTATCTATCTATCTATCTATCTATCTATCTATCTATCTATCTATCTATCTATCTATCTATCTATCTATCTATCTATCTATCTATCTATCTATCTATCTATCTATCTATCTATCTATCTATCTATCTATCTATCTATCTATCTATCTATCTATCTATCTATCTATCTATCTATCTATCTATCTATCTATCTATCTATCTATCTATCTATCTATCTATCTATCTAAATCTATGTTAATATTATGTGATCAAGAATCGAAGTACATTTATTCATTGACGACAATAAATTATCATCAATAAAAGGCATTAACTAATTGTATTTTGGTGAAAAATGGAAAAACTAGTTGATATCAGTTTGTTTTGTTGTTATGTGTTACAAAAATAATTCTTTAATTGATTGGTTTACAATTTGTGATGGAGTCAAATTGTATGATGACCGTTGACCGATACTACCATCATCAATGTATTGTGGGAGAGAACAAACCATCTTCCATTTGTAGACGATATTAAGAAAAGATGGTGGAGGTGGATAGGACATACATTGAGAAAATCATGAAACTTCATCATGAATAAAGCACTAACTTGGAATCGTGAAGGGAAACGAAGAAGTGGAAGGTCAAAGAACACACTATGTTGGGAATTGAAAGTAGAAATAAAATGAATGAATAACAACTAGAAACAACTGGAAAAGATCATCCAGGATAGAGTTGAATGGAGAATATTGGTAGGTTGCCTAGATTGATTTAAATAGATTGTTGTTCTTATCTAACTCCATCAACTGATCACTGTTGTTTTCTTTTCAGAAAATTAAGTATATATACACACATATCTATCTATCTATCTATATTAGTATTATATAAACAAGAATGAAAGTATATTTATTCATTGACGACCATAGATTATCATCAATAAAAGGTACTAACTCATTGTACTTTAATGAAAGTTTTTTTTTAAAAAACAAAGCAGTTGATGTCAGTTTCTGTTGCTATGTCATATAAAAATTATTCTCTAATTGATTGGTTTACAATATGAAAGGGAGTCATATTATATAAGATACTATGAAAATGACAAACAAACAGACAGACAACAACAACAAAAAAAACACAAAAAAAAAACTTAAAAAAAAACGAAATAAAGAAGGAAGAAGTGAGTACGTAGAATAAAACTATAATAAAATAAACAGAAAAAGAAAGAAAATTATTCTTTCATCGAATTCTTTGCTTTTTTTCTTCTTTACTATTTTTTTCTCTGATTAAATTAATAAAAGAAAAAAGAAAAAAAGGAAAAAAAGAGAAAAAAGAAGAAGAAAAAAACAGTTTACATTGATTTCCAAATGGAATATCTTTTATAAAATTTTATTTTCATTTCATTATTCAATATGGTTAGTGATGATCATCGATATGATAATCAAACAATCATTAAATCTAATAAAATTGAATTAGATCAATTTAATGAAATATGCTTAAAAGAAAATAATCGGTAAGTAATTATTGATTGTTTGATTGATTTGGATTATAGTATGTTATTAGTCTACTATTAAATTACATTACTTACTTACTTATGCCAGTTATTCCTCGTGGAGAAGCATAGGCCAACCAACAGCATTTTTCATCTAACTCTTTCTTAGACAATCCGTTCCAGTTGTTTCTAGCCTCATAATGCAGTTTAATGATTTCTGTAATGTATGTCCTATTCACTTTCAACGTCGTTTCTTAATTTTTTCTTCAGTTGGAAGTTGGTTTGTTCTCTTTCACAGTAGGTTGATATTGATGGTATCTGGCCAACGCATATTGAGTATCTTGCGTAAACAACTGTTTATAACAATTAACCTGTTTTATAATATATTTGAATCTACTGTATTTTAATGTAGCTTTATTGATAATCATCAGTTCTTCATGGGAAGATAATAAATTCGAGTTTCTTCTGTCTTTGTTGATCATTTCCACTTATCATAGCAGTTTAAGTAAGTGTAAACATTTACACTAATCATTATAAGCAAAGATGGATAGTGGTCAGCAGTGGAATCCAGTTTGACGCACGTTTCGTCCTATTTTGGACTCGTCAGCTGGATGTACCCACATCTTGGGATTGATGTTCACTCTTAAACTCGAACCCAGTATCATTCGCTTCAAACGTCAACGCTTAATCCAATTAGCTACTGAGTCATGATAGTCTCTTGCTTGTTCGATGCAGTGAAGTTTAAATTCACTTGGTATTGTTAACTTGAATCTTCCCATCGAGATACTATGCATAGTATGCACATATGCCAATAAGAGACTGACCAATTGCAATCCTAAACATCAATGGGAAGATCCAAGTGAAATAATACCAAGTGAATTTACACTAATCATTTACTGGATGCAAAACATTATCATGATTTAAATAAAAAGATACAAACATTGTTACTGAGGTGAAATAAGAAGACGGCATATTAAAATCCCATTGATATAAAGACTTTTTATATACCTGTTGAATATTCTGTACCCGAACACTAGAGGCTTTCGTTTACATAAACTCAAAAGTTCATTTGATGCTTTAGAGTAAATTATTCTTTGTGTCTTTGTTTATTATAGAATCTTCAATCATTAGAGTCGTTTATTTATACTTGGTCATTTTAATCTTAACAAACGGTTCACATAATGATTAGTTGTATTACTGCTGAAGTTAGCTTTCAGTTTAATTGTATGGTTTGCTTTGATTAAATTTATCTAATTTGATTATTTGTCAATCGTAGACAATCCATGTAAACTACTTTGGACTGTTTCGTACAATTATAGGTTGTCTTTTTATTTACATAACTTATGAAGTCTACAAATGAAATGCTTGATAATGACTTCTTGAGCACTTCCTTGAACTGTGAATGGTAGGGAAAAGTGACGACGTAAGTAAAGAAGCTTCTCATCGAGGTTCATTTATGTATAGACAACAACGGTACTTATAAGTTTGTTGGTAACGTTTAACCTGCAGAAACTTGTTGAAGTATGGTACACTTAGTAACAAGGTAAGTAATCATTTAATCAGAGTCTAGTATATAATTCAAAAGTTTTCGAGACATTTGTGCTTCTTGTAGTGATTAGACGAAGTAATCTCAATTTCTTTTTGGCTTCTGAAGAACTTATCGGGGAATACTCAAAAGACCATAATATATTTTTATTTGTATGTTTATGGCTTGACTATTTTGAGTATGATTGAGAAACACTCTCTTGTGTTTCATTTGAAGTAAATCTCATTTCATTGGATTTAAGCTCTTAATCTTCAGTGCGTCGTTTCTAATTAATCAGAACATAATCAAGTGTATTTAACAATAGCATTTAACAGTATAGGGTTGTGAAGATTGTCGAGTTTTTGATTGAGATTATGAATTGACGAATGTTGGACCACCATTGAAAACCTAGAAGCACTGAAAAGCCGTTTTGCTCTAGTGAGAAGCCTTGGCCAGTGGAGCTAATCGTGTCAGGTAGAAGCAGGTATCTACTCAAACAATGGAAGATGATCCTGTGATTTCGTGGATTGGTTGGAGTTAAACATTAACACCGTTGGATGCCAGCTCAGTGGTCTAGAAGTTAAGCATCCACTGGCGAGACCGGAGGTCCTAGGTTGATATAGATGTATAATGTTAAGTAAGTTTCATGAGTAAAAGTATTTTGTAAGGCATAGACTCTTAGTAAATCCCTAACTCAATGATATATTAAACTGTAAGTATTTCTTTGAAGTAAATTAGAATCATGTATCTAAGGATAAAAATTTATCTATGATGCCTCTCGTTGATTACATTAAACTACCATGATGAAGTCACCTAGATCACATTGAAAATGATTCAATATGGTTTATTTGAGAAAAAGAGTTAGAAAAACGTGATACTCGTTATTACTAACTGATCAGTTAATGAACATAACTTAATCCTATGACACGTTGGTAGCTGCTCTAGTGGCTCAATGGTAACGTTTCCGTGATTATGAAAGTGAATGATGGGTTTCTGTGAGAGTTCAGGCTGAAGTGGGTATTTGAAAAGTGGATAAACGACAAGTAAGGTATCAGTAAAACTTAATAAATATCAGTTTTTACCGCAAATGTTTAGTACCTAAATGATAGTTTATAAACAGTATAGAAGGAACGGAATAAAGTTTTCATTTTAAGACGGTAGTTACGATAATCACATACATCAAATGACTGTTATTTTGCGTTCTTTTATGGCTGTTGATCAGTCAACTGATGTGATATCAGTTAGCATTGAATTTCAAGAGATTGAACAATGGTGCCTGATGTATAATCAATCATCAGTTGTGAGTAATATGTAACAATGTTAGTTGGTCGTGGATTTTCCTCAAACGATGTTTTCTTGTCTAGATTAGGTATTAATTTGTAAGGGTTTCTATTATTCCTTTGTCACTATTCTTGTCCAGCCTTAATTGGCATCGGCTCTTTCTTGATGTGGACCTTTGTTACATGTTTTAGCACATTTGATTTGTGATTAGCTGGAATATCCATGTTATTCACTTACGTATACCTGTTGCTCTTCTTGAGGCATAAATCGTTGACCAGGTTTGTAAAAGTTTCCCATTGAGTGCGACTTGGCTATTGCTCGTTGTCATACTTTTGAGTTTTTTTTCTTTTGATGTCCAGGTCCATTTCTGTGTAAGCTGCCACTTTACTAGCTATCTTCGACTGAATTATTGTGTATGTGATGGTAAGGCCGAGTCATCTGCAAAGTCTCAATCATCTAGTTGTGTTGAATGCTTTCGTTGTATCCCGTGCTGCTCTGAGATGCAGTGATCTTCATAATGCAGTCAAAAACCAGAATCGCAAAATTTGGGAGTAGACAGCCTTGTCTAAGACCAGTCTTCAGTTGGAATGGATTTGTGAGCTGTCCTACATGCATGGCTATGCAATTTAGTTCATCACAGGAGTTCCGTATTTCGATGTTAAGCTTCGTAAGTATTCCATAGTGTTGAAGGAGACGTTCGACGTTGACTGAATGTTTCATTAGGTTCAGCAATGCTCCAGTTTTTCGGTACTCATTATCTCCCCTAAATGCTTATGAAGAGGATGTGAAAAATCATTTAGTTGCTTCTATGTCTGATTTCATTGCTTCAGCTGGTATGTTTTCTGTTCCTGCTGTTTTACCATTCTTGATTTGTCTAGTAGCCTCGCGGATTTTTCATTGTTATTTGGGTAAAATCGGCAGATAGGTCTGTGTGCTGCGCTTCAGTGTCAGGTGGGTTCGGTGGAGCTGGTTTGTTGAAGTACATTCAAGGGGTTCTACCCACCTGTTTCTCTGTTCATGAATCTAGATGATTGGTTTGCACTCTCTGTCCTTGACTAATCGCTCTGGTTTACTATATTTCCCTGCTAGATTCTTCATCGTAACATATAGTTTTCTTGCACTTCTTTTTCTTGTAACTTTTTCTGATTCCGTTGTTAGGCCTTCCACATATTTCCGCGAGCCCACTCTAATGCTCCTCTTCATCCGCTTGTTTGTTGTGTGTTCGGCTTGTGCCTGGATTTTCTCTGCTCCCGTTTGTCTGTCATTGTTTGGTGTCTTCTTTTCCTGCCATCCCTAAGTCTTGAACACAGTATCAACAAGGATGTACTCCCTATCCTGGCGCTCCTTGCGCCCCAGTACTTCTTGTGTTTGTTCCTTTGATTTCTTTACAGTTGTTTTACTTACGTTTTTATCTCACTCTTGGTAGATATCATAAAGCTTAAAACTTGTTGATGATAGCCATGTCAAAATTGCAGAACTTCTTGGTATAGAACTTCTGTGGTGATGCCCAATTAACTTACTAACACATCTCTAGCTTTATTTGTAGCGTGGGTACCACGAGGCAGTGGTCCGAAGTCATATCGGCTCCCCTCCTGTCATTACGTCTTTTATGAACCTTTTGAGTTTTTTGTTGATGTGGATGTGATCGATGTAATTCTCTCTAGAGTGGTCCGGCGAAATCCATTTTGTTTTATGTATATGTTTGTTGTGAAAAATGTAACTACTTATGATCATGTTTACGAAGTACGTGAATTTATTATTTTCTCAGCATTTTCGCTTCTTTCTCCAAGTCCATGTCATCCCATGATGTCTTCATACCCAGTGTTGTCTTTCACAATATTGGTGTTTAGATCCTAGATGAGGTTGGTTAGGTCTGGACATTTCTCTGTGATAGATTATAGTTTCTCATAAAATTGATCTTTATCATCATTGATGATATCATTGGTGAGTGTTTAACAATCTATGATATTGATTTCAATCCGTTTTCGCTGTATTTTGAAAGATGTTTGATGATCTTTGATCCGTAGGTTATCCGTCTTACAAGTACATTTCGTGTTTATTTGAAGATCATCACTGTTACTATGTATAGGCGGGAAATTTTCTCCTTGACAACTAGGGCATGACAAAAATCCTGAAGATAGTCTTTCTCTGTTTGGACTGTGCAAGATGGGATAAATATATCCCTAGCATCTCCTTATTTCCGTCTTAATTTCTATGACCTTCTCTGTTTTTACGTCGTACGGATATTTCACTGAAGTTTTCCAATCTTCCTTTTTTCTTCTCAGAATGAGTTTTGACCATGCAACACTCGAAGATTCTTTTTGCTTTCATAACGTGGCACCATAACTTTATTATACCAAAGATTGTTCAACAATCCTAAAGAGATTTTAACTAGATCAGTTAGTTTATTTTTTTTAAAGCTTTCCCCTCAAGTTTCCTCTTTCTTTAACTTGACTTAAAATTGACAACAACCGTGTTAAGTTTGTCTTAAATTGTTCCTGGTCGCTCCTTTTCCACTATTTTGTATATTGTTTTATACTACTTATTTACATTCAGTAAGCAGTTGTATTCCCAACAATTTTCAAACTCACGTTGTAACTCAAGTTGTACTGTAATATTCTGAAATGTTCACTTATAATGTTTATTGTACTTATCATTGTATTTATCATTATAATCACTGTACCTCAATCACTATAGTGGTTATCCACCATTTTTGTGCATTTAGACATAGCTATCAGCTGTCCCTTTTACTATCGTATGTTATAATTATTCTTCATGTTGCTGTTACAGGAAGCCTTTTTATTTCATACTTGAAGAACACCTCAGGAACTGACGTTTGTAACTAAATTTTGTGTACTATTCAATAAAGAACCGCTATTGTAGACAAATCGTTGTTTTGGAAACTTCGGTTTTGTGAGTATCTCAACCAGGTGACTTGGACGCTTCGATAGCTCGAACAAACCCTAAGCTACTTCAATCGACAAGTTCTAAATAAGACAAAAACAGTGGCCTAAAACTTCATGACAATCCAGAATTCAAATTGCAAGAGTTTGTTTTTGTTTTCTTTCTTTCTTTTCTTTGTTTATTTATATATTAGATTAAGACAATTACATAATTGTCCTAAACTGAAATTAAATTATCGTTTAATAAAATCTGCACAAATTCATTCGGAATATTTACAAAAATTACATCAATTACAAAAAATTGATCATTTAATATGTGGTCAAAATATGGCTTTAATAATTGGTCAACAAAATTGCCAACTTGCAGGTAAGTTTGTTTGGTTTTATTACGGTAGATTATTGGAGATTGTTGAATTTTGATAATTACCATAAGACTGATTGAAATCATGGGTCAATTAAAGCTAACCACCACCATGGAAAACCCGGAAGCACTGGACGGCCATTTCGTTCTAGTACGGGACACTTCAGTCTCGGTCTCGCAAGACCGATAGTTCCTGGGTTCGAATTTCTCGGGGTGTGGGATCTTTGGTGCGCACTGTTGAGGAGTCCCATACTTGGACGAAACGGCCGTCCAGTGCTTCCAGATTTTCCATGGTGGTCTATCTTCAATTGACTCATGATTTGAATCAGTGAAATTTCTAAAAATCTCCACAAAACTCCTTCTCATGTTTACCATTATAGATAATCATTCAGTTAGTCAGTTAGCTACGATATAGAACTAGATACCTATATGTATCGGTTCAAGTTATTAGTACAACAAGATAAACACCAAATTTATAGATGTAGTTATTTCAATAGCTATAAACTATATTATTAACGTGGAGTTGAAGATGTCATATGAGACTGGAGGTTCGAAATTATTATTGTAGATGGTTTATCATTACGTTGACAAGTTTTATTAACTGTTCATGGACAAAATTAGTTTGCTTGTTAACCGATTTCATTCATACTAGTGGTTGCTTTTCAGTGTTTTCAAGCATCATTGTCATTGGGGCATTGTAAGGCATGTCACTATTGCTAACATTAATGAGTTTGACTATTGTGTAAGCGGAATAGTTCAACTTTGGCATGTTCATGGTTTGCATGATTAATTTACGCGATCATTGATCGGAATAATTATACATGTGATGTGAATGTGCATATGAATATTGTGAATGGTCGGCCAGGGTGTTTGGTACCTGTGAGTTTGCGCCAAAGGACTGAATTGTTTTATTCGGATTGTAGGGTTAAAGTGTATACGGTGTCTGGTTCTTCTGTGGACCAGGATTGAGCTTTACTCATCGGGTTATAAATTTTAAGTCTGAGTGGTGTCTGGTTCTCCTATTAAACGGGATTGATCTATACTGCTTGGGTTGTTATGTGGAAGTCTGGATGGTGTCTAGTTCTCCTGAAAACCAATATAAAATTACCCTGGCCCACAAGGGTGTATTATATAATAGTTACTTGAATGATAGTAATATATTCGGAAAAGAAAGGTATAAAATAATTTTAATCTCATGGTTTAAGGGAAGACAGAGAGTGTGTACACCTACGCTATTGTGATCGGTTCTAAGCCATGTCGTCCAGAGTCCTCAACCATTGGCTATGATGGTCACACGAACCACAACCAAGTAGAATGTATCTACCAACATGTCTCAACTGGAAGTTAGTGACTTCAAGCACCGATGCCATGTTTTGGTATGACCGCCCCTAACTTTCTTCCAACCGTCTCCAACACTAGTCAGCATTGCAAGTCGTAGTAGACGGTGTTTAGGTATACGTAACACAAGGCCCAATTATTGAAAAATATTGGATAGTTGTTTAGTTCTAATGTGGGACTTTTCGAAATTCGGCATCAATAGCCTATACGGGGATTGAACCGAGAACCTTCAGGTCCCATAACATACGCTTAACCTTTAACCAATGAATTGGCACTTGATGGCTAACATTTCTAACTTATCTCTGTCTATAATATTACATAACACAACTTTATTTCTATGTAAATAAGTTAATTTTTGAACGATATATCTTTCAAAGTTTAGTAGTAGCCTTAAACCTAACTGACAATCAAATAGAATTGTAATATAATTTGTGTAAAGCAATGTAGTATTGAAATTGAAATACGCGAAAAAAAGTTGGTCAACATAAAGCACGTTAAACACTTCATTTTTTTTGTTACAATGAATTGTTCTATTCTAAATTTAGTAGCTGAATTCATCAGTCAATTAAAGCTAGACCATCATGGAAAACCTGAATGCACTGAATGGACATCTCTTCCTAGTATGGGACCCTTTAGTAATGAGCACTCACGATCCCGTTCTCGAGATTCGAATCCACCACATGAGTGGGGTCATAGATATGCATTGCTGGAGAGACCCGTACTAGGACGAAATGGTTATCCATTGCTTCCAGGTTTTCCATGATGGTCTAGTTTTATTCAACACATAAATTCAACTGTTAAATTACTAAAAGTCTCCACAAAATCACCCCTTTTCTGATAAATAATCTAAACTGTCTATGTTTTAGTAAAAATCATCTGCTAAGCAGCTTTAAATTAATCAGTTTAATCAATTATGATCTTCTTAATTGTGTCATAATGACTGTAAATATGATTGAAATAAGAAATTTCCGATGCATCTATATGCAACTTATCATTTGTGAGTACTATAGTAGTTGACAAAATGACCTTGAAAAATAAAAAAAAACGTTTAGCATTGATATGTACTTTGAAGCATAGATTTAGTCATTCAACATTATTAGTTTTATATTACTTCAAATGCTTCTACTTCTACTGTTACTTACTTACTTACTTACTTACTTACACCTGTTACTCCTAATGGAGCATAGGCCGCCGGCCAGCATTATCCAACCCACTCTGTCCTTGGCCTTCTTTTCTAGTCCCATCCAATTCTTGTTCATTTTTCTCATGTCTATTTCCATTTCTCGGCGTAATGTGTTCTTTGGTCTTCCTCTTTTCCTTTGGCCTTGAGGATTCCATGTAAGGGCTTGTCTTGTGATGCAGTTGAGCGTTTTCCTCAATGTGTGTCCTATCCACTTCCAGCGCTTCTTCCTGATTTCTTTCTCCGCTGGGATCTGGTTTATTCTCTCCTACAGTAGGTTGTTGCTAATAGTGTCCGGCCAAACCTCTACTGTTACTACATTATTATTGTTTTGATGGAGTTTTGTTCGCTGAGCTGAACAGTTTATTCGTGAAGCTTTCATCGTTCTATTGAATGATATCATCAGTATAAAATTCAGATAGAAGTTTGTTATTCATAATTTTATTCAATTCGATTCAACTATTCTCAGATTTATGAATAATGTGTTATGTCAAAGTGTTGATCTACTTCAAGATTATTTCGCTTCAAATTTTCTACTGGAATTATCATATTGAAAACTATAGAATTGAAATGTTGTTATAGATATTAGTTTAAGAACAGAAGATTTTACTTTGATGATGTATATTGAGAATATTTAGCTAATAGTAAGTAGTTGTCTTTAGTCTATTCATCGTCAAAGATAACATCTTAAGTTTTAATTCAACATTGAGTGAATGAGATTCAAAGATCTTTTACATTCAGTTGATGTGGGTCAAATAGAATGAAATATGCCTTTTGAATTCAACTATTAACTACTATAGAACTATGATAATTATGAGTATTTGAATTGTTATACAAACTAAGAATCCCAGAAATAACTCAATTGAATCAAGAAGTATTAGATGAACACGAACGAATGTACTCTATTTGGAATTCGAAACCGAGCATTCAACAAGTACGAACGAATCGTTATTTCATACAAACATCATATCCGCCACAACTTAAATTGAAGTCTAAGTTCCTGTAATCGATTTATGTCTTTTCCTTATGTTAATTCTGCGCCAGTTCGATTGTGCTTTGGATGTAGTCTCTGTATGATCTAGAATGTACTTACGAGTATTAGGATTAACAACTGCAATTGAAACTAACCCGCCTACTTCCTGGAATTGTATACAATCATCATGTCAGTTGTGTACTGAAACCACTAATATCTAGAATTCGAACCATAGATTTTCCAGCACTATCCTTCTTCATGAAACAATGTTGGATCTTCTTATCCTCAAGTTATGAATGATGTGGCTTTATTTAAAACATATTTCTTACACTGACTATTCATTAGAAGTGACTTCATGATAAGGATAAACAGCAGTTGATATGAAATTATACAAATTATGATCCAAATCTAGCTCATTTAGGACTCGTGAACAAGTTTCTCACAAGAAGCAAATGGATTAGAAGGATAATTTATATATCAAATGAAATCAGGATTTGACTCTTCTGAAATATTTTCCTCGAATTTATTAAGAATGTCATTGCAGAGTCATGAATCAACATCTATCAAAACTGCATCAGGTTTTCGATCATGATTTGATTCACTCAACGTACTTCCCTCAGATTTACAAGATATTTCATCAGAAATATTTGAATCATTAGGAGAAATCATATCTGGTATAATAAAATGAGAAATCTGGCAAGACGTTGGTTAATTAGAAACTTTTGTTTCACAATGATTCTGAGTTTCATTTAACTCTGAACTTCTATGTGACTCTATACTGCTTTTTGAAGTTGTGGATAAAGATAAATGATCATTAGAAATATCCAACTTAATAGGATCACAATTACAAATTTTAGCATTAGTTGCAGCAAGATGAACAGTGGTATTACAAACTGACTGAATGTGTCCAATCTCACCATATTTAAAACATTTAAAAGTATGAAATACACATGAATTAATGAGTGAAATCTGCTAAAGGACAAATATTGACTGAAACTTGTGCTCAACTTTGTGAACTGCATTGTAACTCCTCAAATGAATTATCTGCATGACCTTGAATAAGCAAGGGATTGGGATGACGTAGTAATATAGGGGAATTTTCGATGTCCTCATGAATCATTTTACGAAATATTCCTTTACCACATTCGAAATTTGTATAATTAGCATAGTCTAGCAGTAGTTCCTTGAGAGTTGCATAAGAAAGCGAAATAGGCTTTTCTGGTAAAGCCAGGGTTTTTTAAGCTGTATTCTTCTTCTTCGATTAATGTGAGGAAATGTGCCATAATATTAACATCTTCAACATCTTCCTTGGTCATAGCCCATTACCCAGAAGTAATCCTTAAAAGCATCAAAATCTGAATGTAGGTCCAACGATTCCATCACAGGCTTCATCGTGACGCCCAAGTTATGATTGTGGGTATTTGAATTATAATGCAAACTAAGAATCCCAGAAATAACTTAATCCGATCAAGAAGTACTAGATAACCACAAACGAATGGACTGTATTTGGAATTCGAAATGAAGCATTCAACAAGTACAAAGGAATCGTTAGTTCATACAAACACCACAACAACTAAGCTTTAAAACTCTTATGAATAAATAGAGATTTTGATGTAATTCTCTCATGATATAAATTAGGTAATAGAGACTAATCAACATTTCATCTAATCTTTGCAAACTTATTGTACTACATTTTGTTTAATCATGTGTTTTAGATGCTTCTATTGAAATGAATGAGAACATAGGTGAAGGAAACCGAATGTATTTTTAACCAAAACTACAAAGTTCTTTCATTTGCAAGTCCTTCGTCAATTATCTCAAACTTCATTGTTCTTTCATTGCTATAACAATAGCTCTCTATTGTCGTTCTCTTCAATTCGATCTTTTCAATTTCTTGCTGCTAATCATTTGGTGAGACTATAATTTATAGATGACCTTTGAGCAATGCTAGACTGACCTTGAGGGTGTTCACTTAATAGCCAGGACCAAATGAGAGCTATAAATTTGTTTGTGAAATTAGAATTATGATTTACAATTGATGGTTAAGGTTAAAAATTAGATTTACGATTTTCATCACGACCTGCCAAGACTCTATTTAGCTAAGTGGGTGAATGGATTTCGCGCCAAAATCCAAGACTTGTTATTTTATATCTCATTGGTTCATCCATAAATTATAATGTTGCTGACATTCCGCTTCCGATTAGTGTTACATATTACTTATGCCGATATAATTAGCATACACTACATAGATCTGAATTCCTTTACGGAAACATATAAGAAATGTCTAATAGATAATTACTAATGTATATACTAATGTATGTTTTATAATATAAAAATTTTTCAGGACTTAATGCGATACAAGCATGGTATAAACAGTCAGAAAATTATGACTATAATGAAGATTATCAAGAGCATAAAGGCAAGTTATTGTTCTTAATTGACTTAGTGATGGTTAGCAGTGGAATCCAGTTTAACGCGTGTTTCATTCTATATGGGACTCATCAGCTGGATATATCTGCATTTCAGAGTTGATGTTCACTCTGGCACTCAAACGCAATACCGTTTACTTCAATCTCCATTGTGTTATCCACTTAGCTACTGAGTTCTAATAGTGGTGTTGTTTGCTTGTATCTTCCCATTGTAGTTTAGGGCTGTAATCGATCAGTGTGTTGTTGGCATATATACATCCTGTACGAACTTCCTCGATATTACCTTAAGTCTCGAATAGGACGAAACGCGTTTCCTGTATTCCACTGTTAGACACCATCTATCTTTGTTTATAAATTTATTGTTGTTATCTCTTACTACTTATAAGTAACAGTTTGAGGGTTATGGAGATTGTTAAGTTTTTGACTGAGATCATGAACCGATTGATGTTAGATCACCATTGAAAACCAGGAAGCACTGGATGGCCATTTCGTCCTATTGTGGGACACCTCAGCAGTGCGCATCTACGATCTCGCTTGCGAGATTCGAACCCAGGGCCTTCAGTCTCGCATGCGAACGCTTAACTTACTGGCCCACTGAGCCGGCATCCAGTGGTGTTAATGTCTAACCTCAACCAATCCACGAAATTGCGCGAACATCTTCCATTGTACTGAGGTAGATACCTGTTTCTCCCCGACACAGATTAGCTCCACTGGCTACGCCTTCTCACCAGTATGTGAAAATATTTCATCTGTTTAATTCTATACTGTAGTTTCGAAAATGGTTGGATTTCTAGTGATTTCATAGATACATAAAAATAAAATTTCTGTTCGTTTTATCATTATTCGGTTTAGTATGAATGATATAGGCATACCTTTTTGTCTGCTGAGGAGTTCCACAGTAGGATGAAACAGCCGTCCTGTGGTCCCAGGTTTTCAATGGTGGTCTACCTTCAATTGACTATTAAAATTACTATAATTCCACAAAACCCCTATTTAATTACAATCGAATGTATTTGAACACACAAAATGACAGAACAACTTAGTAAAATCTGAGAATCATACAATAAATACTTCATTTGCAAAATGTTAATTGATTGTCTCAAACTTGGCTGTAACTTCGTTTCCACACCAATCACTCTCTGTTCTCGTTCTCTTCTCTTCGTTCTTCATAACCTTATAACACCAAACATTTCACTTCCGATTGATGATACATACTACTTATATCTGTCGAGATCAGCACACACCATAATGGTATTGCAGTTTCGCATCATTAACTTGTTTTAAATTCACTTCAAAACGTCTTTTCTACACAACTGGTGATCGATTACACAAAAATTATAAATGTATCAAATATATAGATAGTTGTAAATAGAATGTTCAATAAGTATGCAGATTCACTTACGGTAAATTGGGGCATGAGTATTCTGTTCTTAGCAGGAGTAGATCTAACGCACAAACCCTGATTTGACCAAAAATTATTGCATCAAGTCAGTAGCTACTGTATATAGAATTACTACTATGACTTTGAGTGTTCGTTTGAGAAAATGCATTTTGTTAAGGTAGAGACCAGAACAAACAAATCATCTTTGGTCACAATTTTACTTAATATTTATTTATTTGGACACATAAATATTGATACTAATTGGCGCTGAATAAATACACGCCGTACAAGTTACTCATTATGTGTAAGGGCTTGGATACTGCCCGTGTGCCTAAACCGAAGCAGATGGTTTTTTAGGGGGCCACACTTGGAGCCTTCGATCTAAAGTGTTGATCCAAAAGGCAGTGGAACAACGTAAGGAGATGCACTACCATGGTAGCCGGTGACCGACGGTTGGTTCATACGCCATTTGTTTCCTCAGGAGCCTGGAGGCAGTCCATGTGCACCATTGGTTTGGAATCAGGGTTTTCCAACTCTTTAGGTGGACTCTCAGTATCCACCAACCCGGTCAAAGCACCAGACATTCGATTTTCGTCCCTCAATTTTGTAGATAACACCCTCATCACGAGTAGGCAGTAATTAGGACTTCCCTTTTAGCGGTTTTAGGCAAGTGGGCATATGGGATAATTTGGAGAGGGAGATCTGACTCTCTCCATTCTTGACAGTTTCAAGGCATTTGATTAGAAAAGTAGATTGTTATGACTTCGATAACAAGATAGTAGATGGATTGATTGATGCCCAGCATATAGTCGAATTAATAAATTGAATCAATATTTTATTTCAGGTTATTTTGCTCAAATGATTTGGAAAAAAACGAAAAAAGTTGGATTCGGTTTTACTAAATCAGAAATAGGTAATATAATTTTCGTTGTTGGACATTATTTACCGGCTGGTAACAAAACTACAGAATTTCAAGACAATGTTCTACCAAGAAGAGAAGGTGAATTAAAAGAAATATGATATAATATTTTTCTAGCTTATTGATATGATATTGTATTGTTTAAAGCTCATACAGAGTTTGAGTCATTATTGAGTCACTTGAACTAAACACCATCATGGAAAACCTGGAAGCATTGGACGACCTTTTCATCCTATTATAGTACTCCTCAGAAGTGCGCATCCACGATCTATGCCTCACGAGATTCGAACCCACAACCTATCAGTCTCGAGCGCGAACGCTTAACCTTGAAAACACTGATCCGGTGTCTAACGATGTTAATGTCTATTTTTAACTAATCACGATCCATTGAATATTATCGAATGTTTACTTTGATTGAAGAGTAATTTGCATGACTTGTTTTGTAGACATAGTACCATATTGAAATACTCACGTTATAAATTACAGTTGATTAGTATAACAAAATTTTATGATGAGACTAATCATTATCTGCTCATAAAATAGAGTTAACTAACTCATTGTAGTTACTTATATACATTGACAACTAATAATGTTAACGACAGATAACTCACTTATACAAATACATTAAACAATGTTAATGTGTTATTAAATTAACCCTATACGGACATGCAGTCATGGTCAAGTTTAGAATTTCAAATACTTGTGTTGCCTGTATGAACTAGTAATTCCTCTGTAACTGATTGCCCGCTGATTACAAATTCCGAATACAATACGTTCATTTGTGCTCATCTAGTTCTACCTGCCTTAAATTGCCCTACTTCGGGAATTCTTAGTTAGTACAATAATTGAAATACATCTAATTATCATATTGACGTCGCAATGGAGACTGTGATTGGACAGCTTGATCCACATTCAAATTCTGAAGCTTTCGAAGATTACACGGAAAGGTTTAAAAATCTAGAATATGACCAGGAATCATGTTAGGGATTACAAACTTTAGTTGATTTCCTCACATTTATCGAAAGGATGCTTACAGTTTATCAGAAACTTTGGCATTCCCAGATAAGCCTATTCCACTTCCCTATGTAACTCTCAAATAATTACTACTAAATCATGTAAAGTGTACTAATTTCGAATGCCATAATGTGATTCGCCGAGACATTCAGAATTTTACTACATTACTTAGCTATCCTAATCCAATGCATGCTCAAGATCATGCAGATAATAATTCATTGAAGAGTTGTAATCAGATTACAAAGTGAGCACATGTTTGGTAATTGCTCATCCTGTGGTAAATTTCATTCGCGTAATCTGACATGCCATATACTTTAAGTGTAGTAAAATGAGCACACCGAATTGGTCTGTGGATCTATTGTTAGTTTTGCCACTAGTAATGACAAACCACGTAGTTTCCATTTTATTAAGCTGGGTATTTTTATTGTTCATTTATCTTCATTGACGATTTTGTAAGCTAATGTCTATATTGAGAAGTAGTTTTATGCCTCCTTTGGTTCATTCAATAACTTTACTGTTGAAATAGACAATATAGAGTCATGTCTTAGTCCAGAATTAAGTGAAGCCTTGTTAGCCTTGCATAAATTTGAAACTAAATTCCAACCAAAACAAGCTTGTGTTTCATGGAATGTTTGCCAAGAAAGGTGAAGGAAATCCTATTCAGAATATAGTTGGACTAACACAATGAATACAAGTGCATCAAATGGAAGTCAGAATAATTGTGAGATAAAAGCTTCTAGTCAATCAACGTCTTTAAAGCAATTAGTCCCTTTTATAAATTTCGATAGAACAATAAGATCAGATCAACTCCGTCTTCTCACTAATCTATCGAGATCAACGGCTTGTTGAACTTCTCATGTGATTTAACCAGATATCGTTTGCCCTGATGATTTACATATTTCTGGTGAAATGTCCTATAAAAATGAGAAAAATATATTGAATGGATCAAATAATGATCGGAAATCCGATGCAATTTTAATAGATACCGATTTGTTCAATGATCCATTGTTCTCTAATGTTGTAATAACAAATATTTCAGAAGAATTAAATCCTAATGATTTCAGATTAGTATCAGAAGGAGTTTTGTGGAGATTGTAGTAGTTTCAAGAGTTCAGATCATGAGTCACTTGAAGCTAGGTCCTGGGTTCGAATCCTGCGAGGCGGGGTCTTGGATGCGTACTGCTGAGGAGTCCCACAATAGGACAAAACAGTCGTTCAGTGCTTCTAGGTTTTCCATGGTGGTCTAGCTTCAATTGACTCATGATCTTAACTGTTGAGATCTCATATTAAATGTTATTTGTCCTCATAACACATTTGTTTCTGATGGGACATTTGGTCTATGTGATGTACAAATTCTCAGTGAATTTAAACCAAATTACAGTTCACATGATCTCATATCAATATTGTTTATTTTCACCATGAAGTTGCTTTCAATGGATTCTCTTGTCGATGTGAAAAATATACTTTAAATAAAGCCATACTATTTGTAGCTTAAGGAAATGAAGATCCAACATTAGTTCGTGAAAGAGGATAATGTTCGAAAATATATGGTTTAAATTCTAGATATCAATCATCTAAGTAAACACTACCAACATGAAAATAAATACAATTTAAGGACCCAGGTGGATCTGTTCCAGTTTCAGTAGTTAATTGTAATACTAATTATACATTTTAGATCATATAGTGTCTACATCTAATTCACAGTCGGTCAGACACATGATAAACCTGAGGAAATATGGTACATAACATTTTCAAACCCTAATCTTTCCGATTACTACTTATACTCTTACTACCTCTACCACTATGAGATTTGAATCGACAACTGCATCTCTGTGCTAATGTGGTATAACAACTCGAACTGGTGTACGTATGTACGAAGTTCTACGTTGTTACTAACTGACTGACAATCGATTTCAGAAATTTGAATCCCTATTTAATCCATGACGGCTGTGGTCTTTGTACGAACTAACTGATGCATTTCTAATTACGAATTCCAAATATCAGTCATTCATTTGTGTTCATCTAGTTCTACTTGCTTTATATTGCCCTATTTTGAGAATTATTAATATATTAATTCCATCACTTTGCATCGTCATACTATGATTGTCTATTCGGTTTTTAAAGCCTCTTTAGGCATGAAAGCAATAGAGCTCAAAACTCTCAATTTTGTATACACGTTATTAAATACCGTTTAATTCCATCAATATAAAGTTTGATCCATACTAGGTGATAACTAGTTATATTGATGAACTTTATAAACTATCAATAAAATAGTATTTACATTTCATTTAATTTGTGTGCATTTTCCTTGTTTTGTGAGTAAAGGTTAAACCTTCCATTGTGTTAAGTTCATTCGTGTAGGAGCTTACTTACTGATTAGCGTTTCGTAGCGAGTTAGTTTTCTACGGGATGGGGTCGCTAACCCCATGTACAACCTCCTCCTTTACTCGGGCTTCGGATCGGTAGTAACTCTAGAGGTGCTACAAGCGGAGTGTAGGAGCAGAACAATGTAAAACCAGTTCTATATATTGAAGTGATTTCAACTACAAATTGATGACATTCATATAATTCTTCGAACTTATTTACTTACCAGATTCTGTCCAAATACTTGTAACCTGGAAAACATAATAAGTCATCAAAATTAAGAATAATCCAGTTCCATCTTTTTGTCGTTATTATTATTATTTATTTGAACACATAAATATTGGTCCAAGAGGGCACGAAATATATATGTGCCACATCATATTTGTGTGTGCGCTGTGATAATGCCCAGGTGCTCAGACCGAAGCATGTGGTTTTCTTAGGGGGATACACCCCGAGTCTGAAACCTGAAGGTCTGATCCACAAGACAGTGGAGCATCTTGAGGAGATGCAGTCCTATGGTAGCCGGTGACTAACAGTTGGCTCATATGCCATTTGTTCCCGCAGGATACTGGAGCTCATGTGCACCATTGGTTTGGAACCCGGTTAAAGCGACGGACAGCCCCGCCACGAGAAGGCAGTGAGTAGGACTTCCCTGGCAGAGGCTGTATACACGTGGTTGTGTGGGAGCATTTCCAGAGGGAGGGCGGGCGGGCCCACCACAATCTCCGTCATACCAGGGCATTCGGGCCCTGTTTGTCATGTAAAATAATAAGTACGTTTTTTGACTGATGCTAAAGTCTCATACATTTTAAGGTCTTACCTTTCATAATTTTTACCTATAACATGAAGTAAATATTTCATTTCAGATGCTCATGAAATGAAGACCGATGACGATTGTTCAGATGATCCTAACAAAAATCTCAAACAACATCGACATTCTTGTTCAAACGGACGGTGTGTTATAATTTAATACGTGTAAAAATATTTACGTCCAGAACTTCCAACATAAGACTGAATGAATATTCATGATATTTTTAGAGATGCACCATTCTATTCTCATTCACTATTCATGTATGGTTGACAATGTATTTTTCAAGTTTATAACAATAAATAATTGAGGTCTGTTTAAAAGGTGCCTACAATGTGATATTAATCCTAGATAAATCTTCTAACCGATCCAAAGGAATCTTCATCATAGTTTATTGCTGCACTGAACAAAATAAAACTTAGAGATAGATGATCTTGAAGAGGCTACGATATGGCTTTGTTATTCACTTGGAATTTGGTTGGTTTACTCATTCATTTACTGCAAATTGATGATGTAATGACATATTTATCATGTATCAAAAAAGAGTAGTCGCTGTATTATCTAATGAACTGATGCTGTAAATTATTAATACCCTCTAGAATACCTCAAAATTAGGAGAGTATAAACCATTGAAACAAATCTCCAGATTTAGTGAAAGGATAAAAGATAGATATTTGTCGCATTCAAGATCATCGCATTTGAACTACTTAGGAGATTCTTACTTCATGACCGAAATTAGACATAAAATCCATTTGTGGTCTTACAAGTGTCAACACAAGGTATGACATATTTTATGAAAGATTTAAGAAACTAGTTCTATGCAGAAGATTACGTCTCAAATGTCATTACTTGGATCATTCCCTATGACATTTTATGTTGTTTGAAAGCGTTTTATTACTTTGCGTTTGTCTTCTT